TCCTTCTCCACAATGTTGTCCACAGCTTGTCATGATCCACATAATCAAAAGCCTTTGTACAGGCAATAAAGCACAGGTAAACATCTTTCTGGTACTTTCTGCTTTCAGCCAAGACCCATCTGATATCAGCAATGGTATCCCTTGTTCCACACATTCTCTCTGAATCTGGCTTGAGCCTCTGGCAGTTGTCTGTCAATGTACAATTGCATAGCAACCCTGTATACAGGCATTTTAAATGTTTGGGGAGAGCAGGGCGCCTCATCTTTCTCCTGCAGAGCAGCTAGTGGGCTCAAACCACAATCTTTGTGGCCCACAGTTCATTGCTTATCCTATTAGTATAGCAGAAATCCTCATAGCCAGCCACCCTGCTACCAGCTGCCCTGTTCTAACAGACACTGAAACCAGCTTCATCAAGGGCCTCCATGAAATACTTCCAGATGGAGTGCCCTGAACATAGCTAACACCTAGGCCAATAGGAACTCCATCTAGGGCCAGGACCTCCACTCTTACACCTCTCCCACACCCACATCGTGAGCTCCTTGGCTTGCAGGAGTCCAATAGCTGCACTGTTCTGTTTTTTTGTTTTGGTTTTTTCCTTTTGTTGTTTTTGTTTATTTATTCTTTCTTCTATTTCTTCTCTTTCCATTCCCTTGAATTTTATCCTTTCTATCTCCGCTTTTGTTTTTCCTTCTTTTCTTCTGTTTCTCATTTACCTTCTTTTTGTTTTTACCTTTCTTTACTACTCTCTACTCTCTCTTTTCATCTTTCCTATCCCTGGTTTTTATCTAAGTGTTTTTGTTTTTTTCTCCCTTTTCTCTCTTATTTTTCTCCATTTAACTCCATTTTCCTGTTCTTCTTATCTCTTTTTAGTTATAATACCCTTTTTTTTTTCTGGTTGGCATCTTTATTTTCTCCTTTGTTGTTACTGTTATGTGTTGTTTAGTTGGTTCCAACTCATAACAACCCTGTGTAGGGTTTCTGAAGAGCGGCTGGTGAATTGGAACTGCCAACCCTGCAGTTCACACCAAGCTTTTCTCCTTTCAGTGTTGGTTACTTATTTGCTTATTCTCTTTTGCTTTTGTTTTTTGTGGGGGGGGGGGGGCGGCGAGGGAAGGTCTCCTCTTTCCCACCAGACAGGAGACAGCAACCATACCTATACAGCCCAGCCACAAGCATACCCTCTACAACGCCACATACTAGGCAAGAACCAATAGCAGCTCCTATACCACCTGATCAATGAGACAGCAGCCAACAGGAGCCAACCCCACCCTAAACTAAGGTGCGTAATTGGCAAACGAGCACATACTTCCATTCTCTAATTACACCCACAGGAGTCAGTTGGTGACAGTCTAAGAAGACATCAACATATAATCATCAATTAAATACAACAGCAATGCAATATCCAAGAGAAAACTGATAATTTTAGCTCACACTAATAAATAAGAGAGAATGGTTCAAACAAATGACCAAGATGCAGAGCTAGAAACCATTTTTGAGAGAGAAAAGGTAATAAAATGAGTAATTCAAAAGAATGGTATTTAGATACCTTCATTGGGAGTCCTGGTGTGATACTGTGGGATAAAGCACTGAATCACAAGATCAGTTTGAACCACAACGTCGGCAGTTCAAACTCACCAGTCACTCCTTGGAAATCCTATATGGGGTCACTATGAGTCAGACCAACTTGATAGCATTTAACAAAAACAACAGCAAAAGATTGACTGAAAGACAAAACCTACAATTTGATGTCCAGAAGATAAATACTAAGATTTTAGAAATGGACAATACATGGAATGGGCTAGAACAGTAGACACAGGTGATGGGAAAGCAATATACAAGAGCAAGGTCAGCAGAGGAAAGACGAAGGTAGCAGAAACACAGTTAACAGTAAATGCTATTAACTGATGGTACACAGAGGAGACTGCAGTCAATGTAATGAAGCAAAGTATGATTTGCTGAATGTATAATTGATGATCTGCTCTTCACTCAATTCACAATAGACAGTTTTTGAAAAATGGTATATCCAGGTTGCTATGAGTTGGTAGCAACTCAATGGCACCTAACAACAATAACAACAATAATTGGTGAAATCTGCTACAAAAGATCTCATTGCAATGTTAAAGAGCAAGTTGAAGACTGCACTCAATTCAAGTTATAATATTTTCAGTCACCTCATATGCATGACGAACAATGAATAAGGAAGATCAAAGAATAAAGGATAAGCATTGGGCTGTTAAGAAAAAGGTCAAAGGACCTTCCTCTAGAGCCAACAGAGAAAGCCTTCTCCTACAATTTGGACTGAATTTGGACTTCTAGCCTCCAAAATGTGAGAAAATAAATTTGTTTGTTAAAGATTAAAAAAAAAAAGGTATATCCTCTGCTGTTGTTGTTGTTAAGTGCCAGCGAATCAGTTCTGACTCATAGCAACCTTTATACAACCCTTATAGGGTTTCCAAAGAGCAGCTGATGGGTTTGAACTGCCGACCTTGTGGTTCAAAATCGAGTGCTGATCCTCAGATATCAAGACACATTGTAGAATTGCATTATTAGAGCATGATGAAATGATCATGGAGAAAAGATTGAAGTTGTCAAAGACTTCATTCTTCTTGGATCAACTTGGGTCAACTATCAACATTCACGGAAGCAGCAGTCAAGAAATCAGACAACATACTGCATTAGGCAAATATGCTGCACAAGACCTTTTTAAAGTGTTGAAGAATAAAGATGTCACTTTGAGGACTAACATGCGCCTGACCCAAGCAACGGTATTTTCTTTCAGTAACCTCATATGTATGCGAAAGCTGGACAGTGAATAAGGAAGACCATAGAAGAATTGATGCTTTTGAGCTATGGTGTTGGAGAATACTGAAAGTGCCATGGGCTGCCAAAAGAACCAATAGATTCGTTTTGGAAGAAATGCAGCCAAAGTGTTCCTTGGAGTCCAAGACGGCCAAACTTCATCTCTCATACTTTGGACATATTGTCAGGATGGAGCAGTCTCTGGAGAAGGATATCATGTTTGGTAAGGTGGGGGGTCAGAGAAAAAGAGGAAGACCCCCAGCGAGATGGACTGGCCAAGTGTTAGCATCGATGGCAACAGTTGTGAGGTTGGCCCAGGATCGGGCAGTGTTTCGTTCTGCTGTGCACAAGGTCGCTGTGAGTCAGGACCAACTTGATAGCACCTAACAACAACATCAACAGCTATTTTTTTAAATAAAATAACATTTATAAAAATCCTTCTGGAGGACTGGTTAACTAAATTGTTTCATGTAGTAGGGATTTTTTTTTTTAAAGTTACAGCTTTACCACTTACCATACATCAAAATACATTCCAAATAGGCTAAAAACTTAAATTAGGAAAAATACTGACAAATCTTAATATGTATATAAATAAAAAACCATTTATAAAAAAAATAAAAAGTGAACTAAAAAAAACAAAAGTGAATACTCAGAGAAAAGTGGGTCAAGATAATGAACAATCACTATAATTATTATCTCACCTCACAAATAAGCAAATGAACAGCAGAAAAGTAACAAGTTGGAGTCTTGGGAGCACAATGGCTAAATGGTGCATTGCTAACTGAAAAGTTGATGCTTGTAACCACTTGCCACTGTGCAGGAGAAAGACGTGGCAGACTGCTTCTGTAACGAATACAGCCTTGGAAACCCAACGGGCCCCTTCTCTGTCCTACAGGGTGTCTATGAGTCTAATCAACTCAATAGCAATGGATGTGGTTTCTGTGTAAAACAAGGAGGTAACCTTTTTTGTCAAATGGAGTACAAAAAAGATCTAAAAAGAGTTTTAACACTCAGTATTGGCAAGAGTGGGAAAAGAAGTCAAAAGAAAAAACTATCGCTCAGAGGGCAAAGTGCTATAACATTTCCAGCAGGTAATTTGGATATCAAAACCCTCAAACACACACATACTCTTCTCACTTCAGGAATTTAAGTAAGAAACTAATCAAACTAGTGTAGAAAAATGCATGCAGAAAAATGGTGATAACATCATTTATAATAATGTAAAAATAGAAACAACAATTAAAAATAGGTTAAATTATTAGAAATCCATACAATAATCAAGTTATTAAAAGTCAGGCCAACTGAACCGTTAGTGAAATCTGATGATGTTATTTTGTCCATCACTGTTAGAATTTGCTTCTTAGTCTCCCAAGAAAAAGTTAAGACTTAGATTTCTGTTCTATAACATAAAACAGTGTTCACACTATGCTGGTAAACTTCAAAGAAAATAGTATATATAAACATACACGTGCCAAGTTTCTTTTTTTTTTTTTAATGTGTGTATACACACACATGGAATCCTGGTGTGGCCCTGTGGGTTAATGCGCCAGACTGCAAAGCTGATTGAACTGAAAGGTCAGCAGTTCAAGCTCATCAGCTGCTCCTCAGAAACCCTATACAGGGTCACTATGGGTCAGAACTGACTCGACAGCACTAAACAACAATATACACAAACTAAAAGAAAATATGCCACAATCTCTCAGTGGTGGGATTATGATTGGGGTTTTCATTAATATTTTCTCAATTATCTGTAATAAACATATTAATTCCATAATTTATAAACAGCAATAAACTTTTTGGAAAATCACGTAAACATGCATCTAAAATGAGTTTTAATCATCTCACTGCCAACAATTCTCTAAGTAGATTTGTCTTTTAGGTATTAACCTCAAATGAGCCATGATTGTCTAAAGACAGAAGCCCACAGGTAATGACATCACTCTAATGTTACAACCCATAAAGGTGCCTAACAGGATGATCCTTTTGTGTCTTGAAATTTTTAAGGGTATTTCTATAACATAAAAGACATGTGCTAATGTGCCTGCATTTTTTATTTTGGAAGTCAGAAACTATAAGCTTTTATGGTGTCAAAAGAGATTTGTTGTGCCTTTCTGCTGTTTGAATTATAAGGCATTTTTGTACCCTCCTACATATTTATCACTTTCTGTCCAGCTGTTGGCTTTGTTTTGCTTACTGCTTACCATGGAGCACTTCTCCAGAACTTCCTCCTGGAACTTCAGGAATCGTTCCTGGACCTCAGCTTCATTGAGGAAAAAGGCAAGGAAGTGAGTGAAGGGTTGCTTCTTTCTAAACGTATGTAAAAGAACATCAATCCGGGTTCGGGCTGACACGACACCGTTTCGATGCTGGCCAGTGATAACTGCAAGCAAAGAAAAAAGAGTCAGCAAACCCAAAGACCACCATTTCCTTCTGAAACAGATGACCCTGTCAGCTCTAGGAGGGAAAACACTCCTATTCGTGTCCGTAACTCCGAACCTGGACAGTGCCAAGGCAAAGAGAGCTGCTCATGCATTAAAACTAAGCAGAATGAAGTTGAAAAAGAGAAATCCCCTTAAAACCAGCTGATGAAGTTAAAAAAAAAAAAATTAGTCCAAAAGTCACAATACAAACCTTCATATATTCCTGCTAAGAATGCAAAATGTGCAACTGCTGGGGGAAATGATTTGGTTAAATAACTTGACAAGCTAAACTCAAAAATAACAGTTAAGAACTCAAAAAGTTAAACACAGAATTACCATTGCTGCTATGGTTAAGTGTTTCTGAGTTGGTTCCCAGTCATAGAGACCCCATATAGGGTTTCAGAAGCTGTGAATCTTTGCAGAAGCAGAAAGCATCATCTTTTCCCTACAGAGTGGCTGGTAGACTCAAACTGCTAAACCTGTGGTTTACAGTCCAGCATTCATCCTATAGGGACACCATGCTCCCCAGAATTCCCATTGAGATCCCAAAATTTCTGCTGCTATTGTTATGTGCCATCGAGTCACTTCCAGCTCATAAAAATCCTCTGCACAACAGAATGAAACACTACTCAGCACTGTACAACCAAACAGTTGTTGCAATGTGTGAGCCCACTGCTATAGCCAATGTGTCAATACAGCTCCTTGAGGAGCTTCCTCTTTTTTACTGACCCTCCACTTTACCAAGCATGGTGTCCTTAGCCAGAACTGATCCCTCCTGATAACAAGTCCAATGTAATTGAGACAAAATCTTGTCATCCATGCTTCTAAGGATCATTCTGGCTGCACTTCCTTCAACACAAATGTGTTTGTTCTTCTGACAGTCATATCATATTCAATATTGTTCACCAACATCCTAATTCAAAGGCATCAATTCTTCTAGGTCTTCCTTATTCATTGTCTAGCTTTCTTTAACATGCATATGAGAGGAACGAAAATAGATCAGGAGCACCTTTTTGGTACTTAAATAAGGTTTTTTGCAGCAGATTTACCTAATGCAATATGTCATTTGATTTCTTGACTACCGCTTCCATGGGTATTGATTGTGGGCCCAAGTGAAATTAAATCCTTGATAACTTCAATCTTTCACAGCCAAGACCCCATCTGACATTAGGAATTATATCCCTCATTCCACATGCACTTCTGAATCCATCTTTCATTTCTAGGAGTTCCCTGTCAGTATACTGCTGGAATTAGTTTTTTAATTATGTTCAGTAAAACTTTACGAGCAAGTGATATTAATGATATTGCTAGATAATCTCCGCATTCTGTTGGGTCATCTTTCTTTGGAACAAGCACAAAAATATTTGGTTGGCCAGATATCTGTCTTCCAACTTTCTTGGCACCAGTAAGTGAGCACTTCCTGCATTGCATATGTTGTTGAAACATTTCAATTGATACTTCATCAATTCCTTTGTTGTTAAGTGCTGTTGAGTCAGTCCCGACTCATTTGACCATGCATAGGGTTTCCAAGGAGCAGCTGGTAAGCTTGAACCACTGACCTTCTGGTTCACACCAACTTTGTAGCCTAGCACATTAACCCACAACGCCACACCAGGAGTCCGGAGCCTTGTTTTTCTAACAATGTCTTCAATGAAGCTTTCTTCAGTGTCCTTGGTTCTTCATCATATGCTACTCTGGAAATGGGTGAACATCGACCAATTCTTTTGGGTACAGTGACTGTATATTCCTTCCATATTCGTCTTTTTTTTTTTTTTTAATGTTTTATTGTGAATTATATGGTAGTTTACATGAGAGACCTTTAGTTTTAAATTCATTCCATCGTATATCATCTCATTGCCATGGTTCCAATCCCCTCCATGCATCACCAACCAGCCAAAGGGTATATCCTAGAAACAACCCCCCCCAACCCCACCCCTAGTTTTCGGCCTCTGGATCCAAAGCTCCCAGCCACTTCTTTGCTCCATGTCATCATCTCTGTCTCCATCTCAGGCACCTCTGTTTCTCTGGGTAGGGTCCCGCTCTCGGCTCTTCTCCGTTGATGGTCCCAGATAGCTCCGCTCCTAGCCTGTAGAATTAATCACTCCCTTCCTTGTTCCAAAACGTCTACCTCTGCATTTCCAACCCTCATAATCCGTCCTGATAAGCATTCTTCACTACAGTATCGAGAGTTACCCATCTGTATTTCCTTTCATCCGCTCTGCCCAGACAGACTGAATAGTATCCACTGGAGATTCTGCCTTCCTCCATGCTCCCTAGCACTAGGTTCCCCCTTGAAAGCTTGTAAGCCAGTCACTTCTTGCCTTTGTAGTCCCCCCCACCACCACCATTTGAGTATTCAATGTCCAAGTTGCCCATCTCCATCCACTCTGTGTGTGGAGGGGGTGGGAATGATTCTTGCTGTAAGGATTTGTTCCTTCTTTTGAGTTGCTGCTCCATGCAATACATAAAAAAACTATACGTAGAAACCGGAACCACATCCAGATCTCCAGAGATGAGAAATCTCCACTTGAAAGGACGAGCTGACCATCCTGGAGCGACTAGAAAAATAAAAGATACATCTTGAAAGAAAAACCTGCAGGAAAAATGGAGGCAGATGGACTATTACTACAAGAACAAACAAATCGCTTCCCTAGGAAATATCAAAGCAAGTGGCCAGGTCCTCTCAATGCAAACTCCCCTCCAAGACTAAGACTCAATGGAAATGCACGCTCTGAATGGTGACCACACATATCACCGATGGGGGGAAATGGGGTAAAAGCAGCAATGAAGCGGCAAGCTAAGCCCTACAATGTTCAGTGGACTTTTGTGGACCTGGAGGGCAAGCAGTGTGAGGAGACTTGGGGACTCTTGGGCCCAGAGTCAGTGGCGTGGCCACGGAGGACTCAAGAGGAGAGTGGAGCTACCGGCTGACGGGAAGAGAGGAAAGGTGCACAGAAGCGCCCACACTTGCACATGATACCCTTCCATATTCTTTTGATGCTTTCTTCAATATTTTTTCCATGTTGTTGTTGTTGTTAAGTGCTGTAGTATTGGTTCTGACTCACACTGACCCTGTATAGGGTTTCCGAGGAGCAACTGATAAGTTTGAACTGCCAACCTTGAGGTTCAAACCAATCTTGCAGTCCAGTGCTTATCCTATAGCGCAATTCAAGGCTTGAATTTTTTCTTAAGTTCTTGAGTTCTTTCTGCATGTTCTTCTCTTTCCATTTTCTAACTCCAGGTCTTTGTTGTTGTTGTTGTTGTTGTTATTAAGTGCCATCGAGTCTATTCCGACCCATAGCAACCCTGTATAGGGTTTCTGAGACTGTAAATCTTTAGGGGAGCAGAAAGCCTCATCTTTCTCCTGAGGAACCACTGGCAGTTTCGAACTGCTGACCTTGAGATTAGCAGCCCGATTTGTAACCACTACACTACCAGAGCTCCTTGTTTTAATCTTCTTCAGCTTCAACTTGACCTTGCATCTGAGCACTTGACAGTATGTCCAGCAGTTGGCCCTGGTCCTTGCTCTGACAGATGATATAGAGCATCTCTAATGTCTCTTTCCACAGATATACTTGATTTTATTCCTGTGTATTTCACTCAGTGAGGTCCAAATGTTTAGTCACCACTTATATACAAAAAGAATTACTTGCACTTACAGCAAGAATCATTCCCACCCCCTCCACACACAGAGTAGACAGGGATGGGCAACTTAGACATTGGCTACCCAAAATGGAGGAGAGGGACCTACAAAGTCAAGAAGTGACTGGCTTACAAGCTTTCAAGAGGGAACCTAGATACAGAGGGCCTGGAGGAAGGTAGAATCTCCAGTGTATCCAATCTGTCTAGGCGGAGCTGATGAAATGAAATGCAGACAGGTCTCTTGTGATACAATAGTGAATAATTGTTATCAGGACTGATTGTGAGGGTTGGAAATGTAAAGGTAGAGGTTTTATAGCAAGGAAGGGAGTGATTAACTTTCCAGTCTAGGAGCGGAGGTCCCTAGGACCATCAACGGAGAAGAGCGGAGAGCGGGACCCTACCCAGAGAAGCAGTGATGCCTGAGATGGAGGTAGAGATGATGACGTGGAGCGAGGGAGCAGCTGGGGACTTTAGATCCAAAGAGGGAGAGGGACTGTGTGCTGAAGACCGGGGAGGTGTGGGGGGCCGGCTTGCAGGGTGTACCCTCTGGCTGGTTGATGATGCATGGAGGGGACTGTAACCATGGCAATGATACAATATAAGATAGAATGAATGTAAAACTAACTTTCTCCCATGTAGACTATCACATAATTTTAAAAATAAATTAATTAAAAAAAAGAATTACTTGCAATGGATAAGCTATTGGTCTTGCAAAATACTATCATACAATTTCCAATGTTATTACTATCACTAAGGCCATATTTTCCAGTTACTGATGGTTCTTCTTTGCATCCATCTTTTGCACTCCAATCCTCAATGCATTCTGACTGCATGTTTGATCACTTTTAGACTACAAAAATTGGTAAAAATCTTCAATTTCTTCATCTATGGCATTATAGTTGGTGTATAAATTTGGATTATAGTAATATTGACTGGTCTTCCTTGTAGGCATTTGGATATTATCCTATCACTGACAGTGTTGTACTTCAAGACAGATCTTCAAATGTCCTTTCTGACTATGAATACAATGCCAATCTCCAATGTGTCAGTCTGTCAAAATAGACTATATGTTTGTCCAATTTAAAATGGCTAATATCAGTCCATTTTAGTGCACTAATGCTAATAAGGATATCAATCTTTTTGCATCTCATTTTTTGACAACTTCCAGCTTTCCTACATTCATATTCTTACATTCCACATTCCTACTATTAATGGATGTTGGCAAAAGTTTCTTCTCATTTTGAATCACACCACATTATGAAGGTCCTAAAAGCCTTACTCCATCCACATCATTAAGGCTGACTCTACTTTGAGGAGG